ATAATGCTAGCCAAATACAATGAGGTATTTGGAAATCAGCTTCCTTGGATAGTTGCATAATCATACAATCCAGCTAATTTTCTTAAAGGCAAGATCCCTAGCCACTGAATGTTTCTTAGGTAGTTCCAATTTTGCTAGAAAAACTTTAAAATAATTCAGTTTATAATGCTAATGTAAAACAAATAACACATAAAGCTGTATTTTCCCCTTTTACCAGATTAGGTTAGAGACAGATTATTAGGAAATGAATTAAGCAAGATCATGTGATTCATTGTTATAGATGCATTTGTTCAATCTTATAATACCTCTCTGCACTCTTCCTGACCTCAAACAATAAACTTCTATTTAACAAAACCTTACCATGACCAGCTAATTTGAAGTAAAATTGCCATATTCAAGATAGCTTTAAAGAAAACTAATGTCTGGTAGTATTTTTTAAAATTTTATTTTAATATAGGAGATTGAAGCTGGGATGCTTTACCACTGAGCAAAATCCCCAGTCCTTTTTATTTTTTTGAGACAGGGTCTTGTTACATTGTTGATGCTGGCCTGAAACTTGTGATCCTCTGGCTTCAGCTTCCCAAGTTGCTGGGATTACATGCATGGGCCACTGCACTGGGCTTACTCTTGCATTTAGGTAAAGCAACTCTACTTAGAATTCTTGGAAAAAAACTCAGGTTTGAAAAGCTACTTTAAAACTCCTAGTATTTGGGCTGGGGATGTGGCTCAAGTGGTAGCACGCTCGCCTGACATGTGTGCGGCCCGGGTTCGATCCTCAGCACCACATACAAACAAAGATGTTGTGTCCGCCGAAAATTAAAAAACAAATATTAAAATTCTCTCTCTCTAAAAAAAATAGTTCTTTAAAAAAAAAAACTCCTAGTATTAAAATACTTGTTTTTCTTTTCTTTTTCTTTTTTCTTTTTTTTTGGTATAGGAAATTGAACCCAGAGGCTGTTCACCACTGACCCACATCCCCAGCCCTTTTCCATATTTTGTTTAGAGACAGGATCTTGCTGAGTTGCTTAGAGCCTTGCTAAGTTGCTGAGGCTGGCTTTGAACTAGAGATCCTCCTGACCCAGCCTCCCAAGCTCCTGGGAGTACAGGCATGCACCTGTACTGAGTCTGGCTAAAAATAATTTTAAGAAAGACTTAATATATATAAAGACCTAATTTTGGAAGAAATTGCTATACTTAAGCCAGTTTTCATGAAAATAATGTATGCAATTTATTTCACTAATTACTAATTTTATGCCTTTCAGGCTTTATTTAAAGATTGTAGACGCCTAACCTACACATATTGAAGAGAAACGTCTGGAGCTAGAACCTATAAACTCTAAATTGTTTCCCTGAGTGTTTCTGATTTATGCTTAAGCATGAGAATTAATGATGCAACACAGAGTTCGAAAGTTTTTGTTCTAAATTTCACTTGAAATACAATGAATCCTGCAGGGGTCATTGTGGTCTGAATAGTCATTCACATGATAGTATAAACTAGTTGTCTGAGAGGAATGAAAAAAGGAGAAAGAAAAAAGTGTAAAGAACCTAAGAGAATATAGAGAGAGCAATGATCGATATACTTGATAATGTTGAGTAGAGCCAGCTCTATGCTTAATAACTAAATGTGGAGATTATCAAATTGAATATTATAAAATTTTTAATCTCAAAAATATGCAATTTCTTCCTGAATTATGCATGTGAAGGATCCATTGAATTTTGAATGCTAAATATGTGTTATATATATTAGTTGGAGTTAGTGCTTCTATCTTTGGAATCAATACATTAATAAAGGGATGGGGATGTGGCTCAAGCGGTAGCACGCTGGGTTCGATCCTCAGCACCACATACAAATAAAATAAAGATGTTGTGTCCACCGAAAACTGAAAAATAAATATTAAAACATATTCTCTCTCTCTTTTTTAAAAAATACATTAGTAAACATCAGTGATTTATTGAGTTTATTAATCAATTTATTTATTGATTATTGAGCATGCACAAATTTGTACTTAAATGATTTGTCTGCAAACCTCCTACATGTTAAAATCAACTGGACATCTAAAAAAACTACTATTATCCTGCCTCAACTCCCAGACTAATTAAATCAGTTTCTAGAAACGAGGTCAAGTGCTTCCACTACGGATTCTCATGTCCATCAATTTGGGTCCTTTTCTTGTGTGTAATGACCTTACCATTGATTTTGAATACCTACATAGGGAAATTAATCTTTTTTGGTAGTAGGGTTTGAATCCAGGGGCGCTTTACCATTGATCTGCATCTCAAGACCTTTTTATTTTTTATTTTGAGACAGAGTTTTGCTAAGTTGATGAGGGCTTCACTAAGTTGCTGAGGCTGGCCTTGAATTTGAAATTCTCCTGCCTCAGTCTCCCATGTTGCTGGGATCACAGGTGTGTGCCATGTACCCATCAGGGAAAGTAAGCTTACAGAGCTTGGATCTGAACATTAGTAAATATGTTTTCTAAATCTGGCTCTGTTTTAAGATTCTTGATACATTTCCCTTCTTGCTCATGTGACCAAAGAGAAATACCTAATATTTTAAGTAGGAACCCACATTTATTAACCAATATTTATTAGCAGTACTTTTATAAGCGGTTTCATTTTCTCTATCATGATATCATTTCATTTAATTCTCATGGTAAATGTGTAAAGCCAATAACATTGCCTTAAGTTTAGGAATTTGAGAAGTTAAACCCTTACTCCAAATAATTGTTATATTGAGTGATTATGATGTGCTACATGCCATGCAAGAGGTTTTACATATTACCACAGAGTGAGATCCATATTATCATACCCATGTTCCCTAGTGGATCATCTCTAGAACACTGGTCTATCAAGATGCTCTGGGGAAAGATATTCTATGATTTAATAGAGAAGATATTCTGTGATCTATTAGGCTTAGTCGATGCTGAATAGTTTTCTACCTTTCTGGAAATTCATGATCCATGACAGAATATTAAACATACTGAGATATGCAGTAAAGAAATGTTTAGTGGGATACTCTATGGGTCACTTAACCATGAACATCTCATTTGAGAAACACATGACATTGAAAAAAAAACCCCCTTTAAAACAACCTTATGTTCTAGAAATGATGTCTCAGTGTTGCATATTAGGAAAATAAGATTCTAAGAAGTTCAGTAACTTACCTACAGTCAATCCACATGTGATCATGCTTGAACCTAAGTATGACTAGTTTTTATAACATTCTCTCCTGATTCTAATATCTATGACTCTAGGTCAAGGACTCCAATATCTTTTAATAAAGCTGAATTAAAATTGCTGAAAGGATCAAATGTAATGCTCAATTTAAAAACATTTGAAAACCATAGAAGAGTATTATATATCAGAATCAGACAGTATACAGTTAAAACTATTATGCAAATATTAGTTTTTGAAAGAGATTATTTCGTTATCCAAATCTCTGAATCAAACTTTTAAATGGGGTCTCTGTAGAAAGGCAAGCACTGTTACTCATCATTATCTGTTTCATCAATCACTTATAAACTTTTTGGCAGTGTTTTTGGTACATTAAATAGTTCTTGGAGAAATACTTCAGTGGTTAGAACAGTGTTATATTTATCCCCACATTTGATTCTGTTGATTATGAAAATGTGAATTTTGACCTGAGACAAATGGTTAAGTTACTTGTATTTCAATAGTGGCAAGTAAACTGTAGTGGGCTTTATAGACACTTTCTTAAAAGTACATTTATTTCAAGAAAGAGGAAACGCTGAGAAACAATCAGGGCAAGAATCAACTTTTCTGAACGCGCTTTGCTGGAGAAATATAGGATTGATTGGAGAGAGATGTGATTCAAAAATTGGAGCCACTTAGAACAGAGCAGGAAAAAGACAATGCAATGTGACTGCACAGGTGGCGTCTCTGCCTCTGAGGAATATATTTTAGAGGATCACTGGATGTGTCAAGAGGTAACTCCCCTAAGGACAACAAAGACCAACCGATCCCATATTGAGGGAAGATGAAAGGCATCTTCAATTCCCCTCCTCACTGTGAAGGAGAAACAAGCCCAGAGGGACCAGCAGACATTCTCTGTCACAACAAATTAAGTATGCAATTGGCTTTCTGTGTCACCAACGTGCGGTTAGTGTGGGAATTATTTACAGCACTTTGAATGCAGGTGGAAAATAAATCTACGGAAATCTGTAACTAATGTGTATGGAAATTCTTTCCTCTATTTTCTCCTCTTTGCCCTTCTCTCCAATATGCTTTGAATGAATTAATAATGGTGATGGATCCAAAGAAATGAGTGTGAAGTAGCAATGCTCAGAAAAGGTACAACTGTTCTATCCTGGGTGAATGTGGAGAACGTGGACAGCATCTCATGCAAAGATGTTCATCAATGAGGGTGAATGAGCAGTAGATACGAGATGTATGAATTGGTTTCCAGCTCAGGACTTGATTTAGATCTTCAAAAAAATGATATATGGTCTTAAAGACTCTAAAGCTACAGAAGATTGCTAAACTCTACAAGAAAATGCTAAGAGCATGGTGTTACTGTATTTCTTCCTAGGGATTGTTCTTGACCATGTTGCACATCTGCTAGTGACCAACATAGGCAATGCTCTTCCGCATTGACACCAGAGGTTCATGTTCAACCATGATTCTCTGGGTCATGGATTTTTTTTAAAAAATGTTTTTATTAGTACATTATAGTTACACATCATAGTGGGGTTTGTTTTGACGCATTCATACATGCAAGAAATGTAATCTATTCCATTTCAATCCCCAGTACTTCCACTTTCCTTCCCCTCCTCTCTCCCCCTGCTTCTCTTCCTCCACTCTATTTATTTATTGTTTTTTCCTGATTGGTGCTTTATAGATATTCATAAGGGCGAGACTCACTGTGGCATATTCATTCATGTGCATAGTATAATTTGGTCAATTTCATTCTGCAGTTCCTTCTCTTTTCTATCCCTCCTCCCTCCCACTCAATCTTCCTCCTCTCCTCTACCAAGGTCCCTTTTATTTTCCTGGGATATCCGTCCCCCCACCTCCATTTTTAATTCTTTGGTTCTCTTTAGCTTCCACATATGAGAGAAAACATTGGACTTTGCCTTTCTTATATAGTCATCTGCTGCTCGACAAAGGTGCCAAAAACATACATTGAAGAAAAGATAAATTTTTAAACAACTGGTCTTGGGAAAACTACCCATATGGAGAAGAATGAAACTAGAACCCAATCTCTCACCCTGAACAAAAGTCATCTCAGAGTGGATCAAAGACCAGAAAATAGGCCAGAAAATTTACAACTGCTAGAATAAAACAGATTCAACACGCCAACCTATTGGTATGTGTACCATCTTGCTTAACGAGACCCCTAAAGCTCAAGATATAAAACCAAAAATCAATAACTGGGATAGCATCAAATTAAAACCCTTCTGTACTGCAAAGGAAGTAATTAAGAGTGTGAAGAGAGAACCTACAAAATTGGAGAAGATCTTTGTCGGCTACTCTTCTGACAGGGCATTAATATTCAGAATATGGAAAGAACCCCCAAACACACAAAAACTCCCAATAACCCAATCAATAGATTATTATAATTTTTGAATCTTTAAAATCTAAGATTCATATGAGTCTTCTTGTAAATAACATATTTTAAATAGTGGAATCAATTTGAATAAAAAATTAACATTGTTAGGGAATTACATGTGTACTTATTGAAAAGACAAGAGTTTCCGGAAATGTGAAATATGTGATTCTAAAGAACACGGGGGATAGGGAGAGGGAAAGAGGAGGGAAAAAGAGTTCACCAAGATGAAAAGGAGTCTGCAGAATCAGCATTTAGTGTTCATGCTTTTCCCTGTTGAAAGTCTGAATCTTCTTTTTCATGAGAAAAGAGTCATTTATTTTTGATGCATGGGATAGAGCAAAGATGATTGTTTTGCATGAAGTAGATTCCTGTATATGCACTTATGTAGGAGTCTGTACAGTCCTGATGTGGCCCCACCTCTACATACAGTGCACATCTGCATTGAAATCAACAGAGTCCTGTCCACATGTATGTTGCTAACATGGGGATAGGGAGTTAGGGTTATTCATGCTTGGTTAGACACAGACAAAAATCAACAACAATTAGGAGTTTCTACTGGGCACACTTTTTTTTTTTTTTTTTTAAACCGATTACACAGTATGAATTGAGGACTGTGTCCGAATCCCTTTTTCCTCTCGAATTAATTTGCCACATTCTAAATCCGTAGATAAAGTAGTTCCAGAAGTGGAGTTGGTAGGATGGGTTTGCTTACACTGCAGTCCATAAAAGAAACAAAAAGCCTTGCATGCAAAAGAAATGAGAAAAAAATATAAAAAATGAATAAATCAAAAGCAAAAATGAATGTTTAAATGAAAATTAAAATCAAATCAAGCTGGCAATTATGAGAAGCACATTAAAGCATAATATATACAAGCTTTTGTTTTTTAAATTAGTTGCATAAAACAAGACACCTCAAGAGCAAATTGAAAGTTAAAACAAAGCAGATCAGTCCATTTTCCCTTTTTAATTAAAGATAGTTTTCCATAATGTGGTCCAGGAAAGGGGTACTCAATATTTTCATTGTTTCTTTGTGATTCTGGGGAAGATTTTCACGACCAGACCTGTTATAATGAATCATCTCCAGTTCCTGGTGCTTAAGGAGAGCTTCCACTTAAAGGAAGTGGGTCTAGTATCAGATTATTCATCAGAACCAGCTATATAATTTTCAGGGCCAGTGAAAATGAAAATATGTGACTCCTTGTTAAAAAATGATTAAGAATTTCAAGATAGATATGGCGGAGCATTAAAATGGCTCTGTTATTAAAAGTTCATACTCTTGAAATTCGAGCAACATCTTTAAATTAATTAGGTGGCCTAATACACTATAGTGGCTGTGAGTTTTGCATTTCATTTTTTTCTAGTATGCTTATGAAGGAATAATGAAACCACAAGCATCTTTTCTGTAGGGATTAAGTTTATGATATGAATTCCTTTAAAAATAAAATAGGTAAAAATAGTTCATCATTGAAATCATCCTGTAATCCTAAATGCAACTTGGAAAATAAAGCTTCAAATATACTTAATTGTCATTTTGTGTTGTTGATCATATTACTGGCAAAAAATTGAATTATCCTGTTATAAATCATACCTTGATGGAAGTAAAAGCTCAGTTTCAAAATACTACCTTTATGTTGTCACGTAAATTGTTTTGCGTGAGTACAAGTGCTCAGAATCTCCACTGAAGGGCTGGTAACACTTCTCTCAAGTATCTTTTCCCCTTTTGGATTTCTCTTTCCTTACCCTACCTGTAGTTTCTATCTTAAGAGCACAAAACTGTTCAAGAAATTAACTGACTTTGGAATTTCTGCACTGTCATTGGAAATAGTGCTAATTTGAGTTAGTGTTGAGACCCTTCCTTACTTCCTTTCTTCTTCTTCTTCTTTTTTTTTTGTTAATAAATGATGAAGTTAAGGTGCCAGCAGCACCTGGCAGGTATTCAACATCTCTCTGTTCTAACTCAAAAATGGCTCTTCTGGGCATCTAATTCAATAGACTGTTACAAAAAGGGCAAACCTCCTTGAAACTTCAAACTTAAGACAGATAATTCCAACTAAAAAACCATCCCGTTTTAGAAAGAGATGACTCACCTGTTCAATATCATTGTTCTTGCGTGATTTGTATATAAATTCTCCAATGGCTACAAATACAGAAAGGACCAGTCCAGCAGCCAGGACAATGAAGATGCCCCCAATATTTTCTACTCCCAGAGCACTGGCCTCTTTGCTGTCTTCTTCAGGGCACCCATTTCCCCGCCACCATTTCTCTTTCATCATATGCAGCTTGCCCTCTTCTTGTAGTTGAAGAATAGCTATCGTAATTTTATCCCGGTAAGGAGACCCTGAAAGTGAAATCATTGGGATACTGGTCACCAAAAGGCCGAAGAAGAGGTTTTTTACTAACTTAGTGGTAAATAGATCATGGCTGTTGTAAAAGCTGAATCCACAAATCATCTAGGCAAGGCAGGAAAGTGCAATCCCCTATTTTGGAGGTCCTAAAGAATGGGAAAGGGGAAAGCTGACATGTTGAGATTAACTCTGACCTGGACTATTTACTCCTTCTAAGTAAAGAAAAGCTAAGCTAGGACTTCTGACATAATTCTGCTTCTGGGGAGTTCTTCATGAGTCTTATCATGTGTCAAGGGCTTTCATTGCCTAGATTCTTTCTACCTTTTCTAGGTTCTTGGTTCTCCTATATTGTGACTGAGTCTGTTCATTTCTTCTTCTTCCTAGCTAGATATGTTATATAGCTAGATATTTCCCGGCCTCCTTTAAGGTCATTGTGGCCATGTGACTGATTTTTAGCCAATGGGAGCTAACCTGATTTATGGATATTTCTAATCCTACATCATATGCCTTCCCAACATTCTCTTCTGTGCTCTCTCTCTCCCACCCCAAATACACGGCAGGAAGCAAAAGATTTCAAGTCACCAGGCATGGTGTAACTGCCAAATAGAAGGAACTTGGGTCCTAGGATGCCTGCATAAAGCAAAGCTTCTTTCTCAATTTGCATTAAATAACCACAAGGGTCAAGGAATAACCACTCACTGTGTAAGTCACAGAATATTGGTTATATTGGTTATAGCCGTTCATCCATACTGACTAATTTTCCTAGTAAGATAAACTTAAGAATAAATTTTAAATACTTTAAAGGTCCTACTAAATTCAATTAACTTTCAAAAATTTGCACAGATTTTTTTTCATAATATTTATGCTCTGTCTTTGAGTAATAATATTCTTAATGTTTAATTATGTAAGGGTTAGAAAGTACCAACATCTGCATCTTCTCAATACTGGATTCCTATGTTAATGCAAAGAAAGAGACACAGCAAGAGTCTTTTACTCAATTTTTTCTTGGATGGTAAGAATTTTTGTTAGCATTTCTCTTACTCAGTAGGAAAGTAGTACATACTGGCTTTCTCTGCTTACAGATTTTAAAGTCACTCTTGGTAGAAATCTTGAATCTGAAAGTATGAGTGAAACTAATAGTTACTGGCAGAGCCAAGAATCAAATTCAATTCTCCTTACTTCTTACTTCTTGGTGCTGTTTTCATCAAAGTGCTCCCACATCACTCCCCCACCCCCAAATATGCTTTTCCTCTTGTGGCATGGTTAAGTTTGAAAAGTGCTAACATTTGTAGCATTTGTCATTTCTTTTCTCCTAAGATTTTTAAAAGTAATGATTAGCACTCAAAATTGAGTTTAAAAGAAGAGCAAAATGCTTCAGAGGGAGATTATGTCTTGTCAATTAAGAGTATGGATTTTTGGTGAGAAAATGGGTCTTGAAAGCCACATTAAAAGATGTTGGCTGTTTGCTTAAACACCCCCAGAATAATGACCGATGTCAAAATTAGCACCATTAACATACCCACAGCATGTGAGCAATTAGGTGAACCAGGAGCACTTTGCTTCAAGGTACAGGAAAGTGCTTTGAAGGGTTCAAGAATGATTCGTACAGTGGTAGCTGCCACAGTGATCATAGCAGTATACACAGTGGGCACTCAATAAATGCTGACTGTCGCTCTCCTCTGCCTCCAGGCTGCACAGTACCCAAAACATTTCAGACAGATGGAGATACAATTTCTGTTTAAAGTTGGTCTCTAAGGAAGGCAATTTCCAGGCTCCTGGTAACCTGTTCAAACCTTAACTGCTCTCATTCTCCTGAAGCTTTATTTTAAATCCTTCAGGAGGCACATTTCCAGAGCTTCTGTCCCGAGAATCTTTAAGAAGTAAAGTTTTCAATTCTGTGTTGCAACTGGTACATCTTTGCCAGTCTCTCATTATTGGAGAGAGTGGAGCCTCAAGGGCTCAGTCAGGGTTGGGCCACAGGGTTTTGAGAGGTTTTGATATCTGTATGTATTTTAGTGTCAGTCTTTGATATTATTGCTTATCTGGATTGAGTGACATTAGAAGTGACTTATTACAAGTCACTCGAAAAAAAAATGTATATGTGTACACACAGATCTTTCTGAATAGCAACTGATCTTTCTTAAAGAGTCAATTCATCATAGAAGGAACATCTCAAAAATTTATCCAACAGCTGCATTCCCAATGGATGTATTCTCTCTGAGGTCTGCCATCTGTTCCAATTATTCCTTCATTGTTCTTGGTTTAAAAGCATGACAGGTTTATAGCCGCTATGAAAAATTCCTGAAGTATATTTCTTTTCATCTTGGGAGGGAGGAAGCCTCTTTTAACTTTGGAATTTGTTATGGGTGAGGTTGGCAAAAAAGAGACTAATAGGTACCTTCAGATCTCTCCATAATTTATATATGTATATGTTATATATAAATATTATATCTCTATCTATCTATCTATCTATCTATCTATCTGAGAGTCAACCTCATTCATATGTAGGCACCCAGAGGTTTTCAATAGCATCTATCTAACTTTCCCACCCCTTGTTATCTAAAATTAGGTAGCAAAGCTAGATTAGGGAGGTAGGATATTGTTTTTAAAATAAAAAAACTGCACAGTAACCTTTTAGTTTGTGGTTTGCCATCCCCCCAGAGTCCCATGAAAAACAGGTTGCTAAATTATAGCAGTTTTACTCTTGGGGGAAAAAAAAGCTACACTTCACTAGCAATACTGGTATTTTATCAAGAAAAGTTACTGGAAATTAAAGGCTAAAATGGTAATGACAGATCCCCTAACCCAATTTGTTCTGCAGATTTTTGTAGAAGACATACATAAAGTTATTTCCCCCATACCATATATTTCTAACACCAGGTAGATATAAGGGAGTCAAATTGACTGTATATTCATCGTAAATGTTGAAGACAGTTGACCTTTACTTAGTTAATTCAACTAGTATTAATATAGTCTATACAGTTGAATAATAAGTTAAATGCAGGATACACAAGCCTTTTAAAAAATTAATTAGGTGCCAAATTAAAACTTTAAAAGATTTCACTGAAAATCTGGATTTGTTTTGTGTGGATAAATTAATTACATCTGACAAACTTTCTCTCAAATTCCCACATGTCTATGGCTGGCTGTCCAGAAGCCTCCTTCAGATAAGTTCTGTGTCTGTAATAGACTAGGGCTGCCAGGATTCCCTCCTATTTCTGCAAGCAAACAAGCTTTCCTCATTTAGGGAGAGACTTGGACTCAATAAGCATTTTAGTTGTGATCCCTGTCTAATGTTGAGAGTCCAACTGGACGATACCTTTCAAACAATAACTAAATAATACAAACTAGCAAATCAAATCTACCTTAGGCTCTCAATTATCTGGCTTGACTGCAATTAGGATTTCTTCTCATTGGATGAGCCCTGACTCCTTTCCATTAGAATGCTTATGAACAAAGTAACAGGACTCACTTGAGAGCAGTAGGTTACCTACCTATTCTACCACACCAGAATCTTTTACAATGCAGTTTTTCTATAGAGAGGGAAACAGCAGAAAAATATTCTGTTCATGTCTATGACTGTCACCCAGGAAGATGTTATATGGGTACATATTCTTACCAACTTATAATTTCCCTAGGGAAAATGGTGCTACAGAGTCAAACAACTGGAACATTTGGAGATTTTAGATAGTTATCATTGAATCTAGTTTATGCCTGAGCAAATTATAATTATAAGGTAATCTTTATACTTTTTCTTTTGATAGATATAGCCTTGATTTTTCATCTATTGACATGAAATACTAGTCCTCTATGTGCAGTATAAATCTTCATCTATATGCAGAATTAATTTTCTCAGATTCTAATATAATTTAAAGCAGAGAAACTGTATAGACTATGTTAACATCAAAGGAGATATTGTGAAGAGGAGTAATTGGGAAAATATCCTCTTAAGATAATAAGACCTATATACTTTTAAATGCTTATGCTATGGTAGAACTTGAAAGAAATTATAGTAGAAGGTTTACTAGGTTGACTCTCTGGGAATCTAAAATTCAGACCATGTGTCTGAATGATATGGATCTTTCTCTTAATTATAGTCTGCTAAGGTCTGGCAGGCTTTCCCATGGAGCACTTGCAATCCAGATGGCCCATCTCCATCCTGGTTAATGCCTAGCCCCGCTTACCAATAGGCGTTCCCACGCCGTAACCTTTGGAGTCAATGAGGCCCCCAATCTGAGTGAGGTTGCAGTTTCTCTGAGTCACATACTCAATGCTGGTGGACTCCATCAGCAGGGCATAGTCTGTGGTGAGCACTCTTTGGATCCCCTCGTCACTGTTTTTAACCAGGGCAGTCTGCTGCCTGCTGCTCATGAAAGCCCACATCTTCTCATAGGTGGATATCCTTGATTTCTGCAGGGAGGAAAAACACACCCACCAGCAGAAGAGTGCTGGAAAAAATAGGGTTGGAAGCTACTCAACATCCCAGAGGTTCAAATAATATGGGAAAAACTCTTTTCCCCTCAGGTAGGGAATGGAGATGGATGGTCCTGGGACTTTGGTTTGGTAGCTGAAATGAACCCAATTCACTACAAAAAGCACTTGGAGGCACTGAGACAGCTGCGGAGAAAAAGAAGATTCGACAGAGTGATGGACTCCAGGTCCTTTGCTTGGTTTTGGTTAAGGAAGAATGAACATTGGCATCAATGACTGTGCTTGACAGATGAACAGTGTGAACAAAACACCATGGCCCATCAGGTCCAGGGCTTTGTCTTACGTTTTTCAAGTATGCAACTCTCAATCCCTCATCAGTATTCCTTTGAGAGAACAGCCCTGGAATAAAGCATTTGCCTTCTTTACATTGTTTGTGAAAGAACTGCCATTCATTCTTATCTTTTCTACAAAATCTAGAATGTAAAGGCTCTTTCCAATTTAATATTCAGATCAGAAAACTCTTCATACTTTTTGTATACAATTTTTCATTGCAATCGTATTACAGATAATGAGGACTGCATATTTCATTTCAAAATGTTCTATGATTTTGTCTTTTATTCTTCAGCTTTTTTGATAGATGCAATGATCTACTATATATGATATAAGATATATGCATCTATAAATACACACCATTATCTCATTATCTTCTTTTTTCTTTGTTAAAATATACTGCCTAAATTTCCACATTGCTTACGTATGAATTTTCTGTTCTCTTGAATAGCTATCTGTGATTAGGCATTTTGCATTTCACTCTGTAATTTTCATATTGTTCCAAGTTTTCCCCCTGAATTTGTCTTCATTTGCATCAGTACTGCCCTCCATTTATTTCAAAGATGAAAGTCATCATGGGAGTTACTGACATTTTCAAGTTAACCCCATCATGAGCATTCTCTCTCTCTCTCTCTCTCCTCTCTTTCTCTCTCCTCTCTCTCTCTCTCTGTCACACACACACACACGCACACACACACACGTACACACTTGAAGCATTAGGAAGACTCCTTGGAAAGCATAGGCTGTACCATCCTAGGAGTGCAAAGAGACTTAAAACATGATTTAGGGCTGTAGGCAGTAAATGGAACACTTGTGGAATCAATTCTGTGCTTATTCCTGCTCAAGCATTTCTGGGAACTCACTCAATTCCTAACTCTATATAAGACCTGGGTTAAACTGTAGGCTTCATGAGTTAGGGGAAGACCGATGGCTTTTTTTTTTTTTTTTTTTTTGTATTGTTAGGCATTTAAAGAGCCCCTTGAAAAAGATCTTGTAAGACAAATAACAATTCAATAAACAGCACCTTATAGATATTGGTATTTTATAGAACTCATTTTGTCAGAATTAGGCCCCTGAGAGTTATTTCTCAACCCTAGAGACACCTGCAAATTGGAGCTCATGTTTCCACAACAAAGTCATGTTTGGAGGTTGGGGGTCAATGCTTCATTTGCTGTGTGAATCCAGCCTCGAAGAGACTGTAAAATGCTGAATGTATCATAAAGCACTACTTGTACAACTGCAGGGAGGTCAGTCTGTCTTAGGGCAGTGGATGTTAAGCTAGGAAAACGATTCCTTCATAAGGAAATTACCTTAAGGGAAAATAATTTTCTTTGAAGTATGAAATTTTAACGTTGTTAGAGACTTTAGATAGAGATTGGCTCATTCAAACTGCTACTTTTATAGGTGAGGAATTTTGGTACAGAAGGTTTGGAGACTTCAAAAAGTCACAAGGCAAGTTAATATCAGAGCAAATTCTGGACCTCAGGACCCCCAATATGTAGTTCAATGCTCTTCCACTCTTTCATGCTGATCTGGGGAGGTGGATGTCTACATTGCCACAATTCTTTTGAGAATAATCTTATTTGATCTACAGGTGAAATATATCTTTAATTCATGGACTGATATTATTTCTCAAAGCACCTCACTAGTTGTTTCATGTTAATACAAAATAAGAATCAGCCTCAGGGGCTGGGGTTGGGGCTCAGCGGTAGAGCGCTTGCCTAGCATGTGCGAGGCCCTGGGTTCTATCTCAGCATTACATAAGCATACATAAATAAAATAAAGGTATTGTGTCCAACTACAACTAAAAAACAAAAGTTAGAGAAAAGAATCAGCCTCCATATAAAACGTTCCATGGAACATTTTCCATCATATTAAAATGAATGTTGGGGCTGGGGTTGTGGCTCAGGGGTAGAGTGCTCACCTCGCACATGAGAGGCCCTGGGTTCGATCCTCAGCACCACATAAATAAATAAAATAGAGATATTGTGTTCAAATACAACTAAAAAATAAATTAAAAAAATGAATGCCATAAATGGTTAGAAAACTGGATTTTTGGTCTGCGGAATTTGGGGACAAAAGATCAGACAAAAGCAAATGGTTATTTTTAGATATGATAAGTGGATAAAATGTGGAGGGTTTGATAAGGCATCCAAGGAATTGAAGGACATGTAAAAGGGATGCACAAACCCTATATAGTTGTTATTAGGTCCCTGTCAGGTGCGAGTCTCAAATTTTCTGTGGCAAAAGACTTCATTACTTTCTAAATTCACAGAGGACTTAGCTAGCTGTGGTCTTATGGCACTTGCTTAGTATGTGGTTCATTCTACTTTAAGTGCTCCCTAGAGCTCAAAATGATCTAAGCTCAAGAAGAAGAGAGATCATGCACTGCTGCCTCAATATTCAACAGTTGCAAGATTTCTAAATTACTTTTTTTCCTCTTATCATGATTTGGAAAGAAAATGCATCCTGAGCCAGTGTATTCTTCACCCTGTAGTTGGAGTTATACAGTATATTTAAACAATGAAAGCCATGATTGTCTTTCATTTCAACAGATATGTCAAAAGTTAATTAGAATATTTGTAATGCCCTCCAAGCTTCTTAATAAGATGCTATAACTGAAAATGCCTCATTTGTTAAATCTGAAATCATTTAGGATTTTTTTAAAAAAGGCATGAGGTTTAGATCAGTTCATTTTTGTCGGTTTTAACCTGATTATGTGGCTATCCTGATGCTGTTGAAACATTGTTGGCAAAGAATAAGCACTTTCATGGGGAATCTGCTAAAAGAGAGTGCTACTGAATCAATATTGATGACCATGCAAGTTAAACATTTCCTGTAAAGTGATTTACAATGTGTGTGTGTGTGTGTGTGTGTGTGTGTGTGTGTGTGTATATATATATATATATATATATATATATATATATATATATATATATATATATAAAACTAAAAATTAAAGACAGTAATAAAAGCTCAGTGTTCACTGGGTACCAAGCACTATTTTGAGCATTTTGTATACATTAAGTCACTAAATCTTCACAACAATCATATGAGAGAGACTATTATAATATCTGTTTTACAGATTTGGAAGTAGAATACTATATGAAGAAATGATAAAACCAAACTTTGATCTCAGCAGTCTTGTTCCCGAGTCTGTGTTTTTAACCAATGGAGAATCAGCTGCCTGTTTTAATACACAGAGCATCCAACTCATGGCTTGTTGAATGTTTCAACAGAACCAACAAATTTTCCAAGGAGATAATTAAGAGCAAGTAGTTGCGGCATCTTTCTATTATAGCAAGAGCTATTGCAACACTTGTACTTTTAGCACATAATGTATGGGAACTATTTACATGACTTTTAACAGCTTACATTTATTTAAGACAGAATTTAGACAATGTTTCAGGATGTGTGACAGTTGGAATCTGGAAGAAAATGTGGTTACATTTTCTCTTCCTTTAACAATATTTTGACTTCCATATAATTTCACTGTTTTCAGTTGCAAGGTTTCTGCAATATGATGTAAAATAAGTGCATTTTCTAGGGTGTGGTTTACTTTTAAGATGGACAAAACCTCCATTTTATAGAAATCTCTTTCTATTTTTTCATTTTTACTAAGATAAGTGTTACTTATCACACTGTTTCTCCAGCCGGGTTACTGGCCTTCTACAGTGATGATGTATAATCCCATTATGCAATAAATCGATAACTAGGCATTTCTCCTTCAGACCAGGGTGTCTAAAGATTTCATACTTTCATCTATTTTTACATATGTTTACTTTTACCTGTGTCCATAAATCTATCTATATATATATATATATATATATATATATATACACACACTGGGAATAAACAATTGCTATTTGATTCTTGTTTTCTTAGCAAAAATGAATGTGATAAATATATACACATCGAACAAATGAAATATCAACACAATTACATTTTAAAATCTCCAATTTACTTTTACTTTAGGTAAGTTCTGATATAAGAAAAACCTTAAAAATCAGCCAAAGGCATAGAAAACCAAACTTGCAAAACATTTACATTGGAGGTAAATAGTTGCCTTAGAGACCACTATTTCATCTAACAGAATATTAAATATCGTTTTCATTAAATAATAAATATTCATGCATATATATGATTCAATGCATAACAATTACTTTGAAGAAAGCATTTATGATCTAGAAGGGTCTCTGTCTTTTAAATGTGTATGTGATCATTGCAGCTAATTATGCTTTTATCTGGAATTGATAGAAAGTTGTGACATTGGAAAACTCTCCAAGATTTCAAAAATTTATGGGTTCCCTTTAGAAAATTCCCTCAGTGGGATTTAAACACCTTTGCTAATATATTTTTCATGTTTTTCTCCTGTCCAGAGTTTAAAAAAAACAAAAAGATTGGTTTATTACTGGCAATATACCAGTCATTGGAAAAGGTTAACTTAAATTGACCTCAAATTTCCTCCCAAACAAATACATTTTAAATCAATGGAGACCAAATGTTTTTGACACTCATGATAAAATTAGTTGGATTTTTCTAGTCTGGGCTAATAGTGTTTATATGAAGAGTACCTTCCTATGCAGAGACGTTGGAGTAATTTCTTTCATCTTTTGCTTCCCTCAATGATTATTTCTGTCTGAAATCTG